ACACACACACACACTGACAGGGTCGTTGCAATATGCGTTTTTGCTGCCCGTTGCAGCGCTCTAGCGTTGCACGGCAAAAACGCATAAAAAGGGCGGCAGATACTAAGTGAAGGAGTGCAGCTCAGGAAAAATAGCCACAGCTGGTAGTGTACGGCCCCTCAACAACGGCTCTCGCATATGTGCAAGTAGTGGTGATGATAGGATGCTTAGATGCAAGATCTGGATGAATGGACCTGATGCTACAATGCTACAAACCGCTTACTTCAGTGAGATGGAGGACACACAAAAGCAGCCTGTGAAAGCTCTAATCCCAATGCTGCATTAATTCCTCCTTTTCCACAGCACAACACATTAGAGTGAATGCATTCGTTTCAGACTTGCTTTCACAACAGTCCACACCTTTCATTTCTGTGTATCTAGCTCCGGAGTGAAAGGCAGGATTTACCTCCGAATTTCACGACACTAAATACCAGGTTCCCCACAGTCAACTCATTCTTCTCTTTCTAACTTCTCTCCAGACAATTCAAATCTTGACCCTACTCCAATCCTGCAACTGCAGAAATGTGAAAAAAATGACAGTATTTTGCAATAAATAACCTGAAGTGGAAGGTCCTTTACGAGAACTTCCGCCATGAATTCATCTGTTCCGCATTCTACATTTGCTGTCTGCTTACTTATTACCGTTGCATCCACTTGATTCGGGGGCACTGCATCATTCTCTTCGCCTATACCAACTGTTTCTACAGTCAGTTCATCCGCGTTGACAGACTCGACATCGCTCTCGCCGAAGTCAGCAAACTGTACGCTACTTTCTCCTGAATCACCACAGGCTGCATCTCTTTCGCCTGAATGCGGAGACTTCATGTCCTCACTGCCCGAATCGGTGGCTTCTTGACCTTCTTCGTCAGCATCCGTCGAGACTGCGTGTTCTCTTACCGACTTCGAATACTTCTTATTGCATTCATCAAGATTACTGGGTAGAGAAATGGTTCGCGCGATAATTTCGTCTTCCGAAAAATCATGGTAATCGAAATGCAGTGTTGGCATACATCCTGGCACAAGTTCCTTTTTGCGGCGTTCCAATTCATCGAAAGTCAGATGAGCACATATTGCTGATTTTGAAACAAATTCTTCTGAAAAAATGATTTTTCAAAAACACAAATATCGCATTCCCAGATTAAAGGACTTGGAGCAAAGAAAAGTTACCACTGCCAGTGATCAACGCCATCTGTTTTTCTTCATCCAGCAAACGGCGTTCATGTTCTGCGTCAAGTGAAAGTAGAAGGCACTCATATGGCTTGCTGCTGCACTCCTAAATATTAGAAAAATCTGTTACTCAAATCTTGATTACATCACCTACACAATGATTCATCACCAAAGCACACTACTGAAAAATGCATCGGAAACCTTCCACCGAATTTGATGCCTGTTTTGCTGCTCTACTGACAATAAAACAAGAGTTACAAAAGGACATGCACGTAACAACAAACCATTGCTTCTCGGTAGAGAATAGATCGTATTCGCTGCTCAACAACATCTCTTCTGCTCTTTAAATGCACAAAATGCCGTAAACAGTCATAATCAACTGCAAAAAGAATTCTCAGCATCATCTGCTAAATGTGAACAGGAGAAAGAGATCAAATGCTCGAAATCAGTTTCGCTGCTCTGAACAAGAGAACTACAACTTACAGTCATCCAAAATTCCGGAATTAAGATCAGGTTCAGAATAAACATGAAATGGAAGAAGGCGTTGTAGCATATCCGAGAGATCACGAAAAGGCGAAGTCAAATCTGGACGAACCACGAAATCGCGCACTGACGAGAAGTAATCTTTTAGTCTGTAAAAAGCGAATTAATAAAGATTCTTGCATTCTGCCTACTTTTCATTTTGGTAAAAAACCCTTATAGCTCGTCACAAAAATTGAATGTGTTTAGAAGCCTTATTATGCTGCGTAGGAAAGCTGCACAGATAAATGCGGCTCCTTGACAGCAGCAAGCTGATGAACTGCATATGACGTTACATTATGCCAGCCTGCGAATCAAACTGGAAAAGCAGAACTGATCCCCAACACACCATTCAAACAATGCCACAGAAGTTAGCGTTCAAGAACCTAGGCAAATTTTAACTGCAAATCTATCATACAACCTTTCGGTCCTTTCAGCTTTCTTTTTTGCAATATCAGCAGCTGCCTCTGCCAACGATTTGAGAGCTGGTGGAGGGAACAATCGCACTGCTGGTCGCGGCGGTTCACAAGGTGCTTCCGACATCACTGGGCGAGATACACACCGCTCCGGCTGTTGCGCAATGGCCGGTTTCTGTGGTACAGAATTTGGCACATAATTCTCCCGTACTTGGCCTTGCTGTACATGAATCTGGTTTACAGAGCGATATGAATTATACTGGACGCTTGACACACCCTTAAAAAAAGCATTAATTCATTAGTTAGTTATTCTGAAAATATGCAAAAACAGGATGCAAAACGCTGAACTATGCTTTATGAAATAATTTAATGGTAAAGAGCATAAACGTTTTTGATGGTATATCGTAATTGACGTATGTACCTGTTGTAACTGGCTA